CTCTCTCTCTCTCTCTCTCTCTCTCTCTCTCTCTCTCTCTCTCTCTCTCTCTCTCTCTCATTGGTCCTCTCCACACAGTGAACCTTCCTGGGTCTGTCCATCACCTTGCTTCTTAAAAGTCGACAAGAGGCTGTGAACACGAAGAGGTGACATGTTGTATAACTTTCAATGTTAAAATTAGGCCCAGGTGGCTGTTTCTCATACTCTAAGGGGATCCACAAAATAAGCAGAAAGGAAAGCACAAGAAACACGGCTGACCACCCAGCAAGGTAGCAGGGCCACAGTGAGAGTGACCAGAAAGGGTCGTTCTGCTCACACACTTGACTCATCCTGCATCATGTCACCCAGTGTCTTGCTTTGGGCTGATTAGAGCAAGGCACTGTCCTGTGAGAACAGGTGCAGGCTGTCTGAGCAGAGCAGTGTTGATGTTGGTCTTCTGTGGTCTTGGGAAAGTCCAGGCACCTTGTCACGATGCACAATGTCAGATGAATCACTGGACACTCGATATTCTGCAACAGATGGTCACACACATCTTGCCTACAGCAGAGACACAGTTGATGTCGTGTGTGCGAATGCAGAGAAACAACGAAAGCCCAGGACTTGAAGCAGGACCATGCAAGCAGTTTTCCAGGGCCTTGGCCATCCATTACTAGGGTCCTTTCAATAAGCAAGGATGAGGTAGCCTTCTAACCCCAGTCTAAGACACCTGAGTTCCTAGTTAATGGAAGGAAGGATAAAACTCGCTGACCTACCAAGTACTGATCTCAGTTACTACCACATTGGAAAAAACATGCCCCACAAGGGTCCATCTTACAACGCCCATGCCCCTTGTCTAACTCCCACCATGAATTGACTGTCCAGAACGTTTGGAATCATCAATTTATTAGTAATCAGATAGGATACGGAAGACACACCCTTCCATTCTCCCAGTTTTAGAGCATGATGTAGGAGACCCTTTTCAAAAGGTGGAATTTGGCGCCAACTCCTTGGGTTCAGACTTCTTTCATCTCATGTAGCACTTGGACTCTCTCTCTCTCTCTCTCTCTCTCTCTCTCTCTCTCTCTCTCTCTCTCTCTGTGCCTCTGTGTGTGTGTGTGTGTATGTGTGTGTGTGTGTGTGTGCTCCGACCTGAAGAACTGAGCATGCTGTCACCTCAGAGGGGATTCCTGCATGGAGCTTCTTCTCTTCCTGGACGTTCTCTCTGCAGGCACCGGGAATGTGGAAAGGGCCACTTGCATTTCTGCTCTGACAATCTCCCAGGAGCAAGGGCTGTATCCCTTTCCCTCCAGATAGCGGGAGATTCTTAAGAAGTAGGTGCGGATGGCCATGGCCAAAGTAGGCAGACAGGGAGGTGTTTGCTCCGCTGACCCCTCCAGAGCCTCCAGGCCACTCAACAGACTAGTGAGAAGCCGCCCGAGTGTCCTCTCTGGCCAGGCATCTCTTGTGGCCCGTGGCCTGAAGAGCTGGAGAACCTGCCTGAGCATCTCAGAGTAGCAACAGGTGGCTACTTCTCTCTGCTTTCCTTGGATGATATGGCCTTTCTTCCAGGGACATTTAAAATCGGTTCTGTCTTGTAGGCAGGAGAGGACCGGCATGATTTTCATCTCTTTTAATAACTGTAGAGTGTCCGTGCGCTGGGAATCGATTCTCCAAAACGCACTCCGTTCAAGTGAGCAAGCAGTGCTGCAGCCCAGGTTTATGCTCATCAAGAGCAGAAGCACAGGCACCATGCTGAAATGTTACGATTACAGAGAAGTCCAAAGAGAGCTCACGCTTAAAGCAAGGCTTTAGACTCATTGAGCCAGGAGATTTGCTGCTGCTTTAATAGTGAGTGAACTTGTACACAAATCTAGTGCTTTTTAAAATACTCCAAATTCCCAGGTATAAACTAGTATAATACTTCCATAACCTACCTCCAAAGTAAGTCCCAAAATAGCTAGTTAGTAATTGTCCCCAAAATGTAGTAATTGGCAAAGAAGCAAGTTATACTGTAGTAGAGAACAATTCCAGTGTGCTCCCTTAGGACGGCAGGGGGAGGAGGCGAGGGTAAGTGACTCATCGGGAGGGAAATGAGGAAGTGGGAATTGGAAATGGTCTTCTTTATGAAGCAATGAAAAATAAAAAAGTAGTGCTCTTCTCAGCAGGCAGAGGGAGCTGGTGGGCTATACTAGGGTCTGGGCTCACTCTTGAGTCCTTTTGCTGAGAGTGCACTCCACCCAGGGAAGAGCCAGATTGCAGGCCTGGTTCTGCCTGTGCCCTGCCGATTTGGTCGACTGCTGCCTGGAACCTAAGTCTAGACAGACTTGATTGGACAGGGGACCCATGGCACGGAGAATTTTGGGCCTCCAAATCCAGAGAGCCATACTTTGGTATGTTTTCCTCTATCCGACTCTGATAGTGTGTGTGTGTGTGGGGGGGGGGGTTGGGGGTGGGGGCGGTAGCCTTCTAGCTCGCCTTGGGGGTACTGGAATGGAAAATAGGGAAGTAGAAGCTGGAAAGACCAGAGCTGCTGGCCACAGAGAGGAAGAGGGGCCCAGAGAGGACATGTGTCGAGGCTTGACCCCCGTGCGCGGTGGCTGTGCTCAACCAACCGCATTAAGTGGGACTTCAACCAAGAGGAAGGCGATCCTGTCTTTCCTTGCTTCAACCCCACACTCATGGCAATGGCATTTCCTGTCAGAAATCCTCTTGCTCTCGTTTTTTCTCTCAGGCACGAGAGACCCGGCATGATTTTCATGTCTCGTAGCGACTGTAGAGTGTTATCGCGCTGCGAATCGATTCTCCAAGATGCACCCCAGTCAAGTGAGCAAGCTGTGCTGCATCAGCCCAGCATCACCCCCATCAAGAGCAGAACTACACTACCATGCGGAAACGGAACTATTCCGGAGCTGGCCGGCAGAGGGCGCGCGCGTGAAGCAAGGCTTCAGACCCATTGAGCCAGATGATTTTGCCACTCTACTAGTGCACTTCTCAGCAGGCTCAGGGAGCTGCTTGACTGCACTGGGGTCTGGGCTCCCTCGGAGTCCTTTCGCTGAGAGCTCGCGCCACCCAGCAAGGAGCCAGAAGGCCGACCTGGTTCTGCCTGCGCTCTGCCGATCCGACGGACCTCCGCCTGGAACCTAGGTCTCCAGAGACTTGATTGGACAGAGGACCCATTGCAGGGAGAATGTGGGTGCTCCAAATCCAGAGAGCTATGCTTTGCTATGTTTTCCTCTGGTCTGAATCTCAGAGTGGTGTGTGTGGGTTGCAGTAGTCTTCTAGCTGGCCTTGGGCGGGCAGAAATTGGAAAAAGGAAGTAGAAGGTGGACAGACCAGAACTGCTGGCCCCAGAGATCAAGTGGGGCCCAGAGAGGACAGAGGTAGAGGCTTGACCCCTGCGCGTGGGAACTGTGCTGAAGGGCACCAAGTGCGACTTCAACCAGGAGGATGGCGATCCTGTCTTTCTTTGCTTCAACCCCACACTCATGGCAATGACATTTCCTGTCGGAAATCCTCTTGTTCTGCTTCAGAGTGCTTCACTGTGGTGCCCCTTTCTCTGGGACTTGTTAGATCCTCTGAGCCTCTGGAACTAAAGGCAAGGTTCTCCCACCCCAAGTTTCAGTATGCTTTCACCAACAATTGCTTTCACCGGAAGTCTATGCTTTTCACGGATGGGTTCTCTCTCTCTCTCTCTCTCTCTCTCTCTCTCTCTCTCTCTCTCTCTCTCTCTCTGCTACTTGCATTTCTACTCTCATTGTATTTTGAAACGTTTCGTCTGCTGTCTAAATGATTTCCAAATGGTAGCGTTTGGCTCCTCATACAGGTGTTTAGCTCCACATCCTGCTGTCTCTATCCTCTTTCACTTTCTGGAGCCTGCTGAGTTTGATGGATGTTTTTTGTGAAGCACTCTAGAGAAACCGGAAATCAGTTCTTCCCCACCAGCCTGTCAGGAGTACCCAGGGCCTCCTTTATCCTCCCTTACCATTTCCCTCCCCTCCCTTTCCCTCCCCTGACGCTTCAGTGCAAAGGACACTGGACCCTGGCTGCATCAACACCCAGGCTGACGGGACCAAGGATTGATGATGGAAGCCAGAGGAGAACATCTCCACTGACTCCCATCCAAGAAAAATCGCTGGAAACCTCAGGACCCCTCTCAGAAGACAGGGATTGCCCAAGGAATCTCCACCCATGCTGGTCATCGGCTTCCTCCCGGAGACTCCCAGAGTCATTCCTGCCCTTGTGTAGCAGACAGCACACAGCAGAGAAAACTCCACTGCTTCCTGGAGAGTCTCCTCCCATTTTTCCAGGCGGCAGCTTCCAGCAGGTGTCCACTACTGGACAGGACAGAGCAGGATGGCCTGGACTCTGGCAGCAGCAGAGTCACTAGGAGGGTCAATGTCCAGGCTGTAAAGAGAGGGGTTCGGTGACACCCGCGAGGATTCTTGGTGCGCAAATATAGTGTCCTGGTCACTCTGGCAACCTAAAATGCCTTGAATGGTTGGGCATTCGGTCACATCCTGGACTGTTGTGTCATGTTTTCTGTGCATGCTTGCATTCCCTCCACCACACACACACACACACACACACACACACACAAAATACACACACTCATCTCACCCCCACCCCTCTCTTTCTCTCTCCCTCTCTTCCACTCTACACTGGGACCCTTCCTAGGTCTGTCCACTACATTCCTTCCTGAAAGTCGCCGAGAGATGGTGACCATGAACAGGTGACATTTCATGTACCTCGCAATCTTCAAAGTAGGCCCAGGTTGATGTTTCCCGTACTCTGAGAATGTCCACAAGATAAACCGATAATTGGAATGGAAGACACAAGAGATATGGCTGATCATTCTGCAAAGTAGCAGGACAACTTAAGGACACCACGGAGGGTCTTTCTGCTGACACGTGACTCTTCCTGCCTCATGTCCCTCAGTGGCTTGCTTTGGGATGATTAGAGCAAGGCACTGTCCCGTGAGGACAGGTGCAGGCTGCCTGAACAGCGCACTGATGTTGTTGGTCTCCTGTAGTCTTGGGAGAGTCCGGTCACATGGTCACGGTGCACCATCCTTGGTGAATCACAGGATGCTCCATCCTCTGCAACAGATGGCCACTCATCTTGCCCACAGTGGGGAAACAGTTGGTGTCGTGTGTGCAAAGTCACAGAGACAAGGAAGGCCAGGGACTTGCAGGAGGGCCCTGGCAGCAATCATCCAGGGCCTTAGCCATTCCTTGCTAGGACCCTTTCCATGCCCAAGGATGAGGTAGCCTTCTGACTCCAGACTGAGAGTCCTGAGCTCCTCGTTAACAGAAGGAAGTTAGAACCCTCACACCCATCAAGTAATGGCTTCAATTCCTGCCACCTGCGAAAGTACTTTCCGCACAATGGTTCATCTTACCACCCCCGTGGCCCTTGTCTAAGTCCCCCTAGGAATTGACACCTGTCCAGTCCGTTTGGAATCATCAATTTATTAGTAGTCAGATAGGATACATCACACACACACACTTCCGTTCTCCTAGTCTAAGAGCATGATGTACGAGACCCTTTTCAAACGGTGTATGATGTCACCAACTCTTTCGATGAAGTCTTCTTGCATCTGGTTTAGTGTGTGCTCTGACCTGAGGCCCTGAACATGCTGTCACCTCAGAGGGGATTCCTGCATGGAGCTTCTTCTCTTCCTGGACGTTCTCTCTGCAGGCACCGGGAATGTGGAAAGGGCCACTTGCATTTCTGCTCTGACAATCTCCCAGGAGCAAGGGCTGTATCCCTTTCCCTCCAGATAGCGGGAGATTCTTAAGAAGTAGGTGCGGATGGCCATGGCCAAAGTAGGCAGACAGGGAGGTGTTTGCTCCGCTGACCCCTCCAGAGCCTCCAGGCCACTCAACAGACTAGTGAGAAGCCGCCCGAGTGTCCTCTCTGGCCAGGCATCTCTTGTGGCCCGTGGCCTGAAGAGCTGGAGAACCTGCCTGAGCATCTCAGAGTAGCAACAGGTGGCTACTTCTCTCTGCTTTCCTTGGATGATATGGCCTTTCTTCCAGGGACATTTAAAATCGGTTCTGTCTTGTAGGCAGGAGAGGACCGGCATGATTTTCATCTCTTTTAATAACTGTAGAGTGTCCGTGCGCTGGGAATCGATTCTCCAAAACGCACTCCGTTCAAGTGAGCAAGCAGTGCTGCAGCCCAGGTTTATGCTCATCAAGAGCAGAAGCACAGGCACCATGCTGAAATGTTACGATTACAGAGAAGTCCAAAGAGAGCTCACGCTTAAAGCAAGGCTTTAGACTCATTGAGCCAGGAGATTTGCTTTTGCTTTAATAGTGCACTTCTCAGCAGGCTCAAGGAGTTGGATCACTGAGTCATTAAGATGAGAGCGGGAGCCACCAGGAGCTCTGCTCAGCCGATCAGGAAGACAACTGCCTGGAACTTAGGTCTAGATGGACTTGATTGGACCGAGGACACATGGTGGAGTGAATGTGGGTGCTCCGAATGCCAGAGAGCCGTACTTTTATATGGTTTTCTCTGGTCTGATTCTCAGAGTGGTGTGTCTGGGGCGAGTAGCTTTCTAGCTCTCTTTGGGCCGGAATAGGAAACTGGTCAGTGGGGGCTGAATAGACCAGAGCTGGCTAGCCCAGGAGGAAAAGATTGTCCCAGAGAGGGGAACTTTTGAAGCTGGACAAGCTCCTCTTGCAGCTCTGCTGAATCGACCCATGTTGGATTCTATCAGGAGGATGGATTTCCTGGCTGGACCTCCCTGTCTCTCTTTGCTTAAACCCCACACTCAGGGCAATGGCATTTCCTGTCAGAAGTCTTCTTGCTCTGCCCCAGAGTGCTTCACTGAGGTAGGTGCTTGTGTCTCTGGTTCTGTGAGATCAGATCCTCTGCTCTTCTGAACTAAACGCTATGTTCTCCCACTTGTATTATTTTTCTGTCATCTTTTTTTCAGCTTTTTTTTTGAGTAATTTTCACTAGGTATCTATGGTTGTCTGGGTTTCGTTGTTTTTTGTTTGTTTGCTTCTTTTTTAGCTGTATGTGTTTGTACTGTCATTTTATTTTTAAACCCTTAGTCTGATATCTAATGTCTTTAGTTGCAACGTCTCAAAAATTTGCGTTCGGTTCCTCGTATTTGTGTTAAGTTCTAGTTGTTTCTCAGTTGTTTAAGTTGATGGCACCTGCTGTCTCTGATGGAAGTTTGCTTTCTAGCTGTCCAGAAATGCTTATTTCTTGTTTGTTACTAATTTTGATTTCCCTTTTTATCTTTATCCTTGTCTTATTAATTCCTTCATGGTTATATCTATTTGGGGAAGTTTTTTTTTTCCTTTCTACATTTTCAAGCAAAAGTGTGGATCTTCATTTTCCACATGAGTTATCTGTGCCTATTTTTTTTAATCTACATATAATGTGAATTGTCTTATTGTTTCATCTCAATTTCTGTGACGATTGGCTCTCTTGTTTTTCCTTCAGGAATGTCTAATTTTCTCTGTTGAAAGCCTTGCTCCTTGGATTAATCTGCAAGATTCTTGCTGTATTTTCCTTCTCTGTGCTGTTTTCTTAGTGGTTCCCATGAATGAGTTTGCTACTTATTGTCTTAGGTAGTAGAATCTCTAAGTTTTAGGAGCGCAGTCCATATTGCCATTTCTATTCCTAAATTTATTTTCAAGGTCTCCATCTCACTGCACGGTTTCTTCTCACACTACCGCTCATGGTGTTTTCTGAGATTACATGTGCTGACTTAGGCAATACGCACACAGCCACCAGTTCCATCCCATTTTCTCTCTCTCTTTAAGCCAGGGTGGGTGTTGCTTTTCTCTTTTAAGAGTTATCCTCATTGAATGGCTGTAAGGATACCCCAAATTATCTTCTATCTTTGTCTCTATTGCCTGAACACTTTCCAAAATTGTTATGTGTGAGTGTTACTTATAAAGCAGGGAGACTTGAACCTGTGCCCTCTCTACTCGGGCATAAAGTGGATTGTCAGCCTACATGTGATAGCGCAAATAAAATTCACTACTTCCTGGCATCATTGCCGTGTGTGAATTTTTATCTCTACCCATGTCCTTAATTACAGAACTATATGCCCTATTGCCAAACATACTCCTGTGGTTTCATGATTCAGTAGGCACCTTATAATATTTAGTAATTTTTCTTCTTCTGTATCTTTTATTACTAACATTTTGGGGGTTTTGAATCCTTAATAAAAATTTAAAAAAAGCAAAAGAGCACAGTGTTGCACACTTAGCATGGACATGAACCTCACTGGGTGTTCCTATCTGGGACAGTGGATGTGCTTGATACTAGTTACCATTTTTACAAATTCAATCACTTTGGTTCAGTGTTCCTACAGTAAACTTACGGCATACACATTTTTGGCATCACACTCTTTGTCTACACTGTTCCTAACAGATTTATTTCCAGTTTTAGAGGGAAAATAGCTCTCTGCATATGGTCAAGTCCATCACCAAGTCCCTTGCTCTTCTTCCAGTCTCCTGTGGTTTTCCTGAGACACTGATGTCTTGGCTGAAGAGTGCATTCGAAGGACCAGCCATTTGTTTTCATTTTCAGGAAATGTCAGGCATTGTTCCAAAGTCCAGAACAACCCATTTTCTCTTCTTTTAGAAAACCAGTTTATTCCAAACATTTTCCTCAAAACAAAATAAGCAAAATCCCAGTGAGTGAACCCAAGCCCAAATGCACACAGGCACCAAGCTTCTGTCCTGCCTGGGAACTCTGTTTCATCGAGTCAGTTCCGTGGGAAAAAAAAAAAAACAACAACAACAACAAAAAACACCAAAGCACTTACACTGCAGAATACAAAAAGGTAAAATTGTAAGCAAAAATGACTAAACTCACAAAACTGGAATGTGTCAGAGGATTAGGGTAGTGGAGGGTGTGACTGAGAGATTGCACAGCTCGTACAAGTACCGTCGCGCTTGCTGTAAATGGCTCTGAGTGATCCAAGAACCCTTCTCTAGGAACAGCTCATGCAGTCAAACAAGCAAGCAAACAAATAATATTTAAGAGAATAGAGGGCTCAGATTGGTTTTCAGTCTGCACTTGTATTTGAAGACCCCAGTACTTGGAAGTTAGGTCACACGTGGTTTACACCATTCAGCACATACAGGACACTGTGTATTCAATGCAGTGACATGCACACTCAACTTTTACAAGCCGATCACAGATTGCCTGCTCCAAAGTTTCCGCTCTGGCATGACAGAAACAATTTTGGCTTATTACAACTGAAACAGCTCAGACAGCGGCTCACTCATAGATGGTCCTGATCATAGACAAAACTTCATTCAAATTGAGGAGAAAAGTCCAGCACCACAGTGCAGAGATGTGACATTGCATTGCCCTTGATTCTCAGTAAGACTGTCTACAAACCCCTGTGGTGCAGGAAGGTCTTCTGTCTACGTGTTATTTTTATTGGTTAAATAAAGAGACTGCCTTGGCCTTTTAATAGGACAGAGAATTAGGTGGGTGGAGTAGACAGAACAGAATGCTGGGAAGAAGACGCCATGGCTCTTTTCCGAGACGGACGCTGGTTAGACTCATGCCAGTAAGCCACAGTCAAGTGGTGATACAGATTATTAGAAATGGGTTCGATCAATATGTGAGAGTTAGCCGATAAGGGGCTGGAGATAATGGGCCAGGCAATGATTAAATGAATACAGTTTCCGTGTAACTATTTCGGGCATAAGCTAGCTGGGTGGCCGGGATGACAAGCAGCCCGCAGTTCCTCCTATTACAATACCCCTGGCCCTGAAAAACATAGTTCCCACACTGGTGAGACGCACATGTGAGCACCTGCTTGAGAGTGACCTGGAGTTGTGGCTGCCCTGGGATCTACGGGAAACATGACCTTCCTTCAACTCACTGCTGCCCCCTCCCCTTTACACAACCCTGTGCTTTGATTCTTGGTAAATACTCTTATTACTTTCTTTTTTGGGCACTGACACAAAACTGCAGGTTGGCAGTCCATTTTGATTCAAAGCCTTGAAATATGGCAACTTGCTTTGATTGATGAATGAAATATAACACTTGGGAAACTGACCCTCCCCATTCAACCCTTACATAAACCCTGGGATGGAATGATTCAGTGCAGACAGGTGTGAGGGTAGGTGAGCAAGGTAAGATGTTTGTGTAAGTGGTCCTTGCCACCTGCTAGTCGAGACCAAGAGAACACTTCTTCAGGAGTCATTTATCATGGTCAGCCCAGTCTAAACGAGGAAAAAGATCATTTTCATCACACCCAGGACCAGTGTCTCTGCACCCTGCTTCTGCTCTGAGCCATGCTCTGAAGCGCAGTCACTGTGGGACTTTTTCAAAACACCCATAGCTAACTGTCATCCTATGTTCCCCACTGCGATGCCTCCTGAGAAAAAAGAAACACGGGAGTCAAGAACAAATATAGAGGAAATCTGGAGATGTGTACTGGTAGATCCCATTACACACAAGAAACTGAGCGATTAGTGTAGCTAGGAAGGTGATGGTGTTCCCAAATCCAAGGCCACTTTGGGAGCAATCAGCCATCCACACAGCATGGTCCCTGTCTTAGTTAAGGTTTCTATTGCTGTAAAGAGAGACCATGAACACACCAATTCTGAATAAGGGAAACCTCTCAATAGGACTGATTTACACTCTCGGAGGTGTAGTCCATTATCATCATAGTGGGAAATAAGACAGCATGCAGACAGACGTGATACTAAAGAAGGAGCTGAGAATTCTACACCTTGATCCACAGGCAGCAGAAGGGGACTGCCACACTAGGCCACGCTTGAGTATATAATACCTCAAAGCCAATATCACAGTGACACACTTCCTACAACAAGGCCACACATACTCCAACAAAGCCATATCTCCTAACAGTGCCACTCCCTACAGGTCAAGCATTCAGACATATCAGTCTATGGGTACCATTCCTATTCAAACCACCACACAATCTGTATCAAAATTTAAATTATGTTTCTCCCAGAATATCACTTTTTTTTTTGGCTCTGTGGCTTTTGGAGCCTGTCCTGGAACTAGCTCTGTAGACCAGGCTGGTCTCGAACTCACAGAGATCAGAATATCACTTTTAAAGCAATGGAACCATGAAGATCCCAAAGAACAAAGCAGTGCTGTATTGGTACTGTCACCATCCTAACATCTACCCCGTTTATAACCTGCTGGAGCATGTGAGAGGGCTGGTCTTCCTCTGCAGAAGGTTAGAGGGATAAACAACTC